TAAGTTCCCAGATGCTACCGAGGGTCAGAGAATAGCCTTTGGGGGTCTGCTTCATTGGAGGAACCTCCACATGGAGCACCATGTATGTTAAGTATTCCCTGGTACACTTGGGCCAGTATCTTGCATTTCCAAACATATTTTTCTGTTCAGGTAAGAGTTATGACTGAAAAGATGATGCCTCAGCTATCTTGCCTTGTCCTTTGTGCTTCTAGGAACCGGGAGCTGAAGGTATGCACATGAGAGGTGAGGACTCTTGTGCAGTGTGGGGACTGTGAACTCTTTCTTTATAGGCACATAGGGGCTCCAGAGAAGACTTTATTGAGAAACACAGGGCATGGGTGACAAAGGGAAGGAATCTGGCAGTAAGAAAGAAATAGTAAAGGAACCAAAGGAAAGAAAGGTAAGAGGCAAAGGACAAGAAGGGTGTTTTACATAAAATAGAAAAGTGGCCAGCAAGCAGATGGAGATGATAGGCTTCACTAGAAATGCAGGTCAACACACGATCCATCATCACAGAGGAATCCTGCAGGGCCCATGGCACTGATGGCAAACCTTGGTGGAAGGGAGGGCCAGTTGGCAACTGGAGCCATGGGGGTTCTTGGAAGGAACATTCTTATTTGCTGATTTACTACTTCCAGGAAGATTCTATGGAAATAGCGAATGAACAGAATGATGCAAGGTAGCCATCTCTGTGGAGCTTATAAATACAGTATATCGAGTACTACACAACCACTGTGATGATGGGATAATACAATGTCCAGCAGGGAGGGAATATGTTCAGATGGGAAGAACAGTTCGCTATATAGCGCATAGTACCAATGATTACTTATAGTGGAGATACAACAAATGGGGTCTGAAAGAAAATATATCCAATGGCAAATTATGGGTAATTTATGTTTTATTTCCTGCTATTAATGTTTACTGTTTTTTTTTTTTAATAAAATTTATTTAACTTATTTATGTGAGAGTGTCAGATCCCCTGGAACTGGAACTACAGGCAGTTGTGAGCTACTATGTGAGTGCTGGGAATTGAACCTGGGTCTTTTGGAAGAGCATCCAATGATCTTAACCACTGAACCATCTCTCCAGCCCCTGTTTGTTTCTGAGACAGGGTCTTAATATGTAGCCTAATTCTGCCTCTAAAGTGCAGAGATTAAAGGTATATGCCATCACATCCGGTCAGTTTTTGTTTTTTAAAATGAGGAGCAAAGATGAATCATGCCAAGGGAAAAGTAGTTAAGTTGGCAAAGTGTAGAAAGGCATTCTTGTAGAAGGAACATTGTTCAGTAGTCCTGAGAGCCAGAGTAGGCATGTGATGGAAATAAGTAACTCAGTCCAGGCTGAGGGTGGGTGTGGGACACAAGGAGATGATGATGAAGGGTATAGATTCAATCCTGATCAGAGGTACATGGCAATGAGATGACAGGGAGAATAGGGAACCATGAGGGTTGAGGGCTGACTCCGATCCTTCAAGGGTCATACAAGACAGCTAGAGGTTGCACAGTAAACTATGATATCAGATAGACACTATGATGATACCATGTACCTAGTGTTTGTAGATGGAAATGCCAATAGCAAACACAATGTCCTCAACAAGGGGACTTGCACTTGGCTGGCCACAAACAAAGGAAGCTTCCCAGTTAATAAAGTGACTGTTCATCTTAGTCACCCTGTCCCCTTTCCTGCTGTCACTAGTGCCCAGTTGACCCATAGTAAAAATCTGCAAAATGAATATTCAGATTTGAAAGCACCCACCTCAGTGCAGTATGGGTTGCTATGAAAACCTACAAGCCAGCAATCTTATGGTGACTAGCTGAGCCAGAGAAGACATTCTCAAACCAACAGAGCCCAGGGTTTTGGAGGAAGGGAGTGATTGGGCCACATGGAAACTGAAGAAGTCCCTTTGCTGTACTGAGGAAGTCTGAAGGAGAAAAGGCTTGGGTGGTCAGTTAAGAGGACACAGCATTAAAGCAGGTAATGACATCCTGGGCTAGGATAACTCTTGGGGGAAGAGGCAGGACAGCAAAAGTCTACAGAGACACTGAGAAGAATGAATTCTGAGACCTTTGACTTCCTAGTGGAGCTACTGTGTAGACAGTGGTTCTATTAGCTAAGACAAAGACAGAACAGTATAATGTGGGATACAATGGCTCTGGTGCAGAAGGGCCTGGAGCTCAGGAGAGCCGTCTGGTCAGGAGAGGCAGCAAACTAAACTCACCCTGATTATCAGCTCTGGAAAAGGAAGAGGGCCATGGAATTATCTGAAGTGCAAAGCTGGGGAAAGGAGCATCTGCGATAGACAGAGTGTGGCCTTGAGGACAGCCAGCCAGCCAGGGGAAGAGGATGTTTCTAGAAGGAAGTATAGAGAGGGAATTTGACATTGACAGCCTGTAGTACAGGGGAGGAAAATACATACAGCTCTCACATTCTCACCCCAGAGCTTTTCTGCCTCCTACTAACCTTCAGAACAATATCTGGAGACATATATTAATGTTCACAACACAGAAGATGCTACCAGTTTCAAGTAGGTAGAGTTCAGCACCCCTCACTCAGTGTGTAGCCAGGCTTCAGGCTGCAGCATCTATTCCAAATTTCAGAGTGCTGGAGGACATCAGGAAACCCAGGAAGGACTTTGGAGCCCTGGGTGGATGATTCTTAAGAGACTTAAGGAAAATTGTGTGCTTGGATAGCTCATGGGTCATAAGTAGCCAGGGAGGGAAGGGATTCAGGGCAGAGAGGAGACAGCTGTTAGTTCTACTGTGAAATAGTAGGTGGTCATTAGCTCCAAGTGACGGTCAGTTGAGGGCTGGAGGAGAGAAAGCACACATAAAGCCTATCAAGAATGAGACTATCCACTGTGCCAATGAGCAGGTCTAGAAATGGCCCTAGCAGCATGCCTAGCTAGAGAGATATAAAGGACTCTCTTGTTAAGAGTGGGCAGGCTAAGCTCCAGCTAGGGGGAAAAAAAGAGACATAGGACTAGGCAGAGTGAATAACAGATGAATAGTGAAATTTAAGGCCACAGCCCTAGAATCAGTAAGCAAAAATGTTTTGACAGCAGGGTAGTAAAGTAAGGTGGGATGAGTGTCTCAGATATGACACTCATTGAATCAGAACAAAAGGCTGCTAGACCAGAAGTTGTTGAGCTGAACCGGTACCAACTCCCAACCCGGCCTACAGGCTAGAGAGAAGCCTTATATCTGGGAACTCAACTCACTATCTAATCCCACTTCTGCTGCCTCCAATGCTTCCAATTCTCCAAGACTAGTTCTTTCAGGACTAACCCTGCCCAATCTAGGTGTTCCTACTAAATATAGCTCATATTCCTCTGAAGTCCACAGAAAGAAGTCAGGGCATGAGAACCAAGAGCTAAACTCCCAATGACTGAAGATGCTGCTGAGAACCCCTTCTACCAAAACATAAGCAGAAATCCAAATCTAAAAGCCTTTTAGGCAGGATTCCTATGCAGGACAATGTCATAAATAATGTAAAAATTTTCAGTCTGTGTATTATCTAAAGTTCCTTTTTAGAAGGCATTAAACAAGACTTAGGATTGAAAGAGGAAAAGGCCTTTCAGTTTAAGGACCTCATCTGATGAGTGATTTCTCTGGACAGCGATCAGACAGGCTGTACAGGGTTATACAGGGATCAGTGTATTTGGGTTACTGGAAAAATGTTGAAGGTTGATGAAGCAACACAATGAATATACCCAGAATGAACACATATTTTTTTGTTCATACATACCTGAGGTTTTCCATAATACAAAAAGAGTAGTTAAAAAAACCTTTTAGTTTCCAAGATGAATCTAGACACCTAAAAACTAGATGATAGCTGGAATGCCTCAAAATATTGCTTTTTTCCCAGTCAGGCAAAGTAGAGAAGGGGAGTCGGGGAGGGCAGGAAGGAGAAGGAAGAGGGCAGTGACTCCTGAGGACAATATTGCACCCAAAAGGGAAAGAAATGAAGCAGGCTTTGCAGCACTGTGCTCCCGAAGCCACATTCTCAGAACCTAAGAGGCCAAACCTAAGGAGGCCTTAACAAGAACCTGGCCTTTTACAAACACCTATAAGGTAGGTATAGTCAGGATTATATAGCTACTGAATGGATGCCCAAAGGCCTACGAGTCACATTGTGAGACAGCCTAAGGCTTTCAGGCATCTTGCTCCTGACCCAGACCTCCAGCTGGTGAAGGGTTCACTTGTGCATGAAGGTCTGCACCCACAGAGACAGACTGGTGAGCGTGTGGTCTAGCAGGGCCCCTTCTATATGAGGGACTCGATCAACCCGTGCAGAATTATGTGGCTCCATACAGTTTTCAGAGCACTCCATTCTGCTGTCCCTCCATTTTTCTCTTCTCATGTCTTATTTTGTACATGTGGTTTTTGCTGTTAAGTTAGGGTCTCTTTATCTAGCACTGGCTGTCCTGGAACTCATAGCAATCCACCTGCTTCTGTCTCTTGAGTACTGGGATTAAGGGCATGTACCACCACACCCGGCATGTGTTCTATCTTACAGAAAACCCCAAGCTCTTTCTGGGGGACCTTACCCCTAGATTTTTTTTCAAGGTGTATTTTATTTTCAATTATGGAATCCGTGTGTGTGGGGGTGGGGGGTGGGGTGGTGGTGGTGGTGGTATTATATGTACATGAATGTGTGCCTGTGGAGGTTGGGAGACAGCATTAGGTCCCTTAGAGCTGGAGTTACCTACACAGTAAGCTGCCCAATGTGGGTGCAGGAACCAAACTCTGCACCTCTGAAAGAGTGGCAAGTGCTCTTAACTGCTGAATCATCTCTCTAGGATACCCACCCCCCATCCCCTCCCATTCCTGTCCAATCTTATACTGGGCTGTAAAAAAACAGTTTGAAGTAAAAGAACAGAACTGCACAGCTATGGTTTCTAGCCTGCAGCTATTCTGTACTAAGGAAGTAACCATGAGGGGAGCCAGTACTTAACAGGACAGCAACCACGACCTCTTCCAGAAACTTCTCAGGCTCTTTACCTGCTACTTTATCCCGAATAAGTTTTGCAGATTCAACCTCGCCAATGCTGCTGAATAGACTCCGTAGTTCCTCCTGGGTCATGTTCTGAGGGAGGTAGTTGACAATTAAATTCGTTCTCCCAATATCATCCCTGCAGTCTTCGGCCATGTGGTCTTCATAACCATTAGACATGGTATTACTTAAAAATCTGCAAAGAAAAATAACATCAGGCAAATTCTAATTTTATCTGGGTATGTGAAGGCAAAGATAAATGACTGTATTTGCACTTAAGGGATTTTCTTTTCTGCTCTAAAAGATCAACTATTGGGGAGATGGTTCAGTTTGTAAAGAGCCTGCTGGCACAAACATGAAGACTTGAGTTCATATCCCAGCACTCATATACAAGTTGGATGAGTTGGCACATATCTGTAATCCCAGTTCAGGGAGCTGGGAACATGACAGAGGGACCCGTGGAACTCTTTGGCCCAGCCTAGCTGAAACAATAGCTTCAGGTTCTCAAAAAATAAGGTGGAGAGTGTGTGGTGGACACCACCATACACCTCTCCTCACCACAGCCAGTATATCCCACACTGTCTTACTGATAGTACTGCCATTTACAGAGTAGCTCTACTCAGTAGCACCCAGGTCTCAGAGAATGAGAACAAGAAATACTTTTCACAGGCTCAAGCATTTGAATACTTGGTTCCCAGATATGGTACTGTTTGGGGAGGTGTAGAACCTTTAGGAGATGAAGCTTTGCTGGAGGAAGCCACTGGGGGTGGACTTTTGAGTTTAGTCTTGCCCCACATCCACTTTGTTCTCTGCGCTTCCTGAGTGTGGATAGAAATGTGATTTCACACACCTTACTACCCTGGCTACCTGCTGCCATATCTCCTTCACCATTAGAGTCTCCCTCTGGAATTGTAAGCTCAAATAAACTTTCTTATGTAGGCTGTCTCTGGTCATGGCATTTTAATACACTGTGATAAAAGAAGTCATTCAATACTGACCTCTAGCCTCCACATAAACTTGTAACCCCACACATATGTATAAGTACCCACATAAACATACATACACCATATCCACCTACCTATACCCATACAAAGAGATCAACTGTGGTTACAAACACCTGCTTAATCAATAATGACCTAAAAAGAAATGAGCTATTGTCTTAGTTAGGTTTTCTATTGCTATGAGGAGACACCATGACCACAGCAACTCTTAAAAGGAAGCCATTTAATTTGGGCTGGCTTACAGATCAGAGGTTTAGTACATTATCAGGGCGAGAAGCATGGCAGCATGCAGGCAGACACAGTGCTGGAGAAGGAGCTGAGAGTTCTACATCTTGATCCACAGGGAACAGGAGACTAGGTGTCACATTGGGCACAGCTTGAGCATGTGAGACCTCAAAGCCCACCTCCACAGTGACACACTTCCTCCAGCAAGACCACACCTACTCCAACAAGACTATACCTCCTAACAGTGCCATTCCCTATGGGCCAAGCATTCAAATACATGAGTCTATGGGGCCATTCCTATTCAAACCACTAGAACTATTCAGCCACAAAAAGACAAGGAAAAACTTTTGTTTTCTAATACCGACTGAGCCTTAATTTTCTATCTTTCTTTTATATGGTGTTGGAAACCAAACCCACGATCTTGTGATTAACTGGCAGTACTCTACCACTGAGCTAATCTCCCAAAGTTCCCAGTTCTTATTTATTTAAAACAATTTTTTTTTTTTTTGTGGGTGGGGGCAGGCTCTGGGATCAAACCTAGGACCTTGAGCATGCTAGGTAAGTACTCTGCTACTAAGCTACATCCCTCTCAGCCCAGTAAGCAAGAACTTTAAATGCTTATTATTAAGTTAAAGAAAACAGTTTGAAATACCATACTGTATGATTCCAATTGTATGACTTACCAGGAAAGGCAAAACTGTAGAGATAGTACCATGTATGGAAGCCCATGCCTATATTCCCGACACTCAAGAAGGCAGAATTTAAAGGCTATCTTTGGCTATATATCAAGTTGAAGGCTATCACGAGATATATGAGACCCCAAGTTAACAAACAAAACACACCTCTCAAAATAAAAACAGGTCCTGTACAGATGGCTCACTACTTCCTGTTCTTAAACAGGACCCAGGTTTGGTTCCCAGCACCCACATGGTAGCTCACAGTAATCTGTAAATCCAGGCTAAGAGACCTGACTTCTTTTAACCTCTGTGGGCAGCATGCATGCACACACACACACACACACACACACACACACACACACACACACTCATATACATTAATTGCAACAAATGTATCCAACTGCAAGATGTGGATAACGAAAAAAGGTTGTTGGGGAAAGATATAAAAGGAATACGCCTGTTATTTTTTAAATTTATTTATTTTTATTTTATGTGCATTGGTGTTTTGCCTACATGTATGTCTGTGTGAGGGTGTTAGATCTTGGAGTTATAGACAGTTTTGAGCTGCCATGTGGGTGCTGAGAACTGAACCCAGGTCCTCTGGAAGAACAGTCAGTGCTCTTAACCACTGAGCCATCTCTTTAGACCCCAAAATTTACTTTTTTATGTGTGTGTTTTGTCACTTATTTATAAGTGCACTTTGTGTACCTAGTGTCTGTAGAAGTCAGAAGAGGGCGTTAGGTCCCCTGAAACTGGAGTTATTGATGGTTGTGAACTACCACATAGGTGCTGAGAAACAAGCCTGGGTTCTCTAGAAGAGAACTGCTGAGCCTTCTCTCTAGCCACCCACTTCTTTTCATTTTAAAATTACATTTATTTTGTGTGTGCACACGTATATGTGTACAAGAGCATGGAGGTCAGAGGACAACCTGCAGAAGTCAGTTCTTCCCCCTTCCTTTGAACTCAGGTCATCTATAAGACTTAGCAGCAATCACCTTTACTCACTGAGCTATCTTACCAGCTCCTAACTAGCTTCTTTATAATCTTTTTGTACAACTAAAACTACTCTACAAAATAATTCTATGGACACAAAATGACAATTCCAAGTTCAACTATGATCACTAGCAGTACCTTTTCTTTTGTTTTTGAAATACAGTCTCACTTTTAAGCGAGGCTGGCCTGGAATGAACTATGTAGTTCAGGGTGGCTTCAAAAATGATGACCCTCCTGCTTCAGATCCCCAAGTACTTAGATTACAGGTGTGAGCTGTCACATTTGGATAAGAGGACTTGTCTGTGTGTGTGACAGGGGTCTCATGTAACCATCTTATGAAGTACCTTAGCCTACAACTCACTATGTAGTTAAGACTGGACTTAAACTTCTGATTCTCCTGCCCCTTTCCCAAGTGCTATGATTACAGGTATGTGCCACCTGGTCTGGCTCAGTAGGAGGGCCTTTGAAGAGGCCTGGGGATGCAGCTCAGTAACAGAACATGCACAAAACCTTGGGTTCTATCCCTAGCAGGTGAGCATGCCTATCCACAAACATGGCTTTAAAGAACCCTATAAAGAAACCCAAATGTCATTCCAGTACAACAGCTCAAGCTCCCAAGAGAAAAAAGTTTGTGTGTCTCAAAAGCTTTCCACTCCTACTGCTTTTTCCTGTCCTCACTGTGGACTACAGTTGGATAACAAGGAGCCTATGATGCGTATCTCTGCAACCCAACTTTGGACTTTTGCCTGTTACATGTGCCCCTTTTATCTCCAACAACACAGCAATGGAGCCAGAAAGAGACTAGGATTTCTCTCCTAGTATGTATGTATGTATGTATGTATGTATGTATGTATGTGCGGGAGGGGGTGCAAGAGTGGGGAGGTCTTCACAGTTGCAGTCTCTGGAAAATCTATTTTGAGGCAAACAGCCCAGGATAGCTTGAGAGCAACATCTGTATAGATGTAGCTGAGAGCACCAAGGTCACTCCTTTGAAAACAGCCCACACATGGTTTGCTCACAGGCATTGTGGTGCAGTGGCCTAATCTAGGACGCCCTTTGACCCTGCTTCTAAATTCACAGCCATCACTTCACATGCACTCAACTGTCTGGAAGTCTCAGTGGCAGTGGGCAGTCCACCCCTTCTTCCAGATGTGAAGCTCTACATTAGTTTGAAAAGTCAAAGTCCAGAACGTATAATAAGCCTTTGACTATCTTTAAAAAACAGCAGTTGCAGAGGTTGGGTGTGAGCACACAACTGTAATTCCAGTACTCAAACAGTGGAGGCAAGAGGATCAGGAAATTAAGGCCACCCTCAGCTGTGTAGCAGTCTGGGCTATATTTAACTCTATCTCAAAAAGAAAACAGAAACAAAAAAAGCTTTTCAGAGCTAAGTAGCAGAGCACTTGCCTGGTATGCAGGAGGCACTAGGTTCCATCTCTAGCACCTTAAAAAAAAAAAAAAAAAAAAAAAAGGCTTTGCCAGAGACTAAATAAAACGCAACGTAACTCTCGCACAGACATTGTTCTCCTACTCTCTAAATCTCTGAGAGAAGGGGAATTAATTAGGCCTGATTTCTAGAAGTGTTCAGGTTCCTACTCTCCTAACTCTCAAACATGTACAGTAAAAATTTCCCAGTGTTTCTCATTTAAAGCTGTGCAGGTTCCTTCTTCTCTATAAAGTATGTTAACATAAAAAAAGAGAAGCCTAGCAAACCAGGTATCATCTTAAGGCAAAAAGCACCAGAAACAAAGACAAGCAGCAATAACCTGGGAGAAAACATCTGCTATGTATCATTTTTGATCAGGTGGTTGCCATGCTGGGAAATTCACCCATCAGGGGACAGGATGTGATGATGTGTAGGCATTCTTGGTTAGCACCAGTGTGTATGTGCCCACACACTATCAGTATCTAGTGAGCAGATTCCAGGATGCTGTTAATTAAATATTCTGCAAGGCACAGGATGATGCCAACAATCAAGAAGTACCTAGCCTAAAATGTCAACATTGCTAAGGCTGAGTAAGTTGATTTAATGCATGTACAAATTAATAATTAAAATCCAACTTCATGCTGATGGCCATTCAAAGAGATGAGAAACCCATCAAAAAAAGCTCAACCTCATGAACAACAGGGAAAATGCAAATAAGGCTGGGGATATAACTCAGCTGGTAGAGCAGTTGCCTAGCATGTACTAAGCCCTGGGTCAACCATGACAACATGCAAGGCACAGTGACACACTGTTATCATCCTAGGATTTGGGAGGTGGAAGCATAACCACCCTTACCTCACTGTGAAGTCTGGAA